GTCAGCCTTCCTGTCATTCGATTTAATGGCCTGAAAGGTCGCCAACAACTTGATGCGTGCCCATAAGTCGCACACTCACACACACACACACACACACAGAGAGAGAGAGAGAAAGACGTGCGCCCACACACACGAATTAATTATACAAGCTGAATTTATAGCCGAAGCACGCGGTCCGACGGGCTGTCTATCAATGCAACCTGTCGCCTCCTGCTCGTGTGTGCCTGAACTGAAGTCAATGTCAAAGTCCTGACACGAGCTTCCCCTTCTTCTTCTTCTTGTTCTTCTTGTTCTATTTCCACTTCTATATATAGACTCGGCTCCATCTGTCTTCCGTGAACGTGAGAATCTGAACGGAGATGCCACGCACAGCGAGCTAACGGAACAATTTCTGCGCGAGATCGAGGAGGCCAGCGAGCATGAGCGGCAGGAGCGTTACAAGCTGGCGCTGCGTCAGCTCTGGGAGAAGTATCAGCAGCAGGAGAACGAGATCCACAACAACAACAACAACAACAATGGGGAGAGAGAGAGAGAGGCCGATGAGCTGGATGATTCGCCGCAGCAGCAGTCGCAGCTGTTCGAGCAAAAGAAACGCATGCGCATGCCGCCCTACTATCTGCTGATGCAAAAGAAACGCTCGTATCCGGTGCTGCCCTGGCTGCCATACAATGCCGACAAGAAGAAGCGTTTTCCGGTGGCCAAGCGTGCGGCGGGTGAGTCGCCGCTGGCCAAGACGGACGAGCGTGTCGCCCAGGAGCTGAGCGAGCTGTTCGGCAAGCCGTTGAACGACCAGCAGCCGGAGGAGAAGAAGAAACGTTCCACGGAGGAGCAACTGAAGGCAGCCTCGACCACACACCAGCCGGAGACAGCGGCGGCCACGGCCACCGCTTTGGGTGACATGCGCCTGGAGATCAATTTCCAGCGCGTCAATGTGAGCACTGCTGCCGCGCCAAAGGAGACGCCGACACAGGCGCCATCAAAGCCCGCTGGCACTGGGGAGTCGATCTCACACGGACACGCGGGCTACCATCACAAGCGCAGTGAGCACCACTCGGACGAGGAGTATGGCGAGCATGAGGGCGAGGGCGAGGGCGAGGAGAGCTCCGACGAGGAGGACCACGATGAGTTTGACGACGACGAGGATGCCGATGCCGAGGGCGAGGGCGAAGGCGACGCAGGCGAGCGACGGCGCAAGAAGAAGCGTGCCGCTAGCCATGCGCACGGCTCGCCGAGTGTGGGACACCTGATGCTGCGCGCCAAGAAGTCCATTGATTGGTCGCAGTACTTTGGCCTCGATCGCAAGAAGAAGTCCGAGCAGTTGGCAGAGTGAGTGCCAGGCGAAGATATGAGAGGAGTAGTCCCTTAACTCTGACTTCATCTATTTCTAGTGTCGAGTCCAAGAAACGCAGCGGGGAGAGCAACAGCAGCGGCGGCGGCAACAACAGCAACAACGAGGAGCTGGATGAGCTGGAGCAGAAGAAGAAGAAGAAACGCGACATTGATCCCGAGAAGCTGGAGAGCATGGACAAGAAGTTGCAGTCTATTGAGGACTTCATAATCGACGAGACCATCAAGTATACGGGCGCACACGAGGGCATCAAGAACCAGGAGGAGATCCGCAAGCTGAAGGAGCACGTGCTCTCGCGCCTGGCCACCGCCTACAGCCTGGAGAAGATGCGCCGTGCGCTGGACAAGTTGCGTCAATCTGTGGACGCTGAAAATCATCTGCTGCGCAATGTCATCGAGCCGGACTCGGAGGAGAACTCCCTGGACAGCCAGTGGCCGATGAAGAAGCGCTACAGCGTCAAGAAGGAGCAGGCCGAACAGCAGGCAGAGTAAGTCCAGGAGGAGGGGAGGAGTATGAAATAATAGTTAATCAACTGAACTCCCTAGGGATGCACAGCAGCTGAAGAAGAAGCGCAGCGGCTATATGCGCTACCCAGATCCGCCAAACACCATGGACGAGCCGCTGGGCGTGCAGAGCACCGGCTACGAGACACTCAATGATGCCTACCTGGGCAACAAGAACTACGTCATTGGCTCCAATCAGTGCCCCATCATTGAGTCCATGGCCGAGCGTTGTCGCAGCGTTGATCTCATCTCTGGCGACTTGAATCAGGAGCTGATGCCGCTCTGTGGAGTGCATCAGATTTGTTATCTTTGTGTAAGTGATAGAAATCAGCCTGGAGAGGGCAATGAGAGAATAGAAGCGGAGTGAGTGAGACATACAGAGAGAGAGAGAGAGAGAGAGAGAGAGAGAGAGAGAAAAACTTTTTTTGTTTTAATTTATTTTTTTACATCAATATTCTTATATTTTTTTTTTTCTTAAAATATATGTATTATTTTTGTATATTTTTTTTTTTTTTTTTTTTTTTTTCTTAAAATATATGTATTATTTTTGTATATTTTTTATAATATACTATTTTATTATTATTATTTTTTTTATGAATATATATACAATATATTAATTAATTATTTTTATTTTTAATACTAATTTTTTTGTTTACTTATTTTTTAATTGCAAATTTTCGCTTACTTATTATTTAGATTTAATTATTTTATTTTAATAAATTGATTTATTTACTTATTTATTTTTTTTAGTTGTTCAAAGATAGCTTCAATGCTCATTCCTGCTCATCTAGGTGTTGCTGGAGTGCAGCCTTAGCCTGATATACGTAGCTGAGGGAGAAAGAGTTGCCCTACTTACACCGTCATTAACTTTTACAGGGCGCCTCGCAGGTGGCTTGCGACTATCAGTACCTGGCCGAGGCGGACACCATTTGTGGCAGCAGCAACGAGTGCCAGGCCTCGGCTCGCTCCGTCTTGATGATACTGCGCGGCACGCCCGGCCGACAGCTGGGACCGCGCGAGTGCTTGAAGAATCCTTGTCTGTACCGGGCCATGCGTGAAATTGGGCTCTAAGCGAGCAGCAATAAATGAAGCCAAAATATTAAAACAAAATGAAAAAACAAGGAAACAAACTTACAAACATTTCTTAACGTCCTTTTGTGCGTTTCAAAAAAATACAACAAACAAATACTAAAATGATGTTAAAACCAACAAAGAAACTTTGCTGAACTAGCAAATCAAAAGTTATTTGATTCAAAAGAAAAAAAAAAAAAAAAAACAAATTTTAAAAATCAAAATAATATTCTATATAAATGTATTAAATAGGTGGCTAAAAATATTTGGATACATTTTGCTGTTGTCCTCCAATATGGCAGCAGCTCAACTAGAGACCTAAAACCAAAAACACAAAAAATATATTAAAATGATATAGACAAAACCCAAGCGAATTTCCAAGCTACAGATTAAACATATACCAAAAACCGTACAACATGAATATATATCTATATAACAACATATACATTTATATGTGAATGTTGATTTGAGATTTTTCGCCAAGCAGTAGGCATCAGATTTGTAGTCCTTTAATGAATGCAACAGCTAATTGTTCATTTCGTTTTGAATGTAAACAGCAGAGTCTTTTTGGAAGCACATTTCAGACTATATAGTGCATATATTTGTATACAGTATATATATATATATATAATCAAAAATATTCATATGGTATATTCATGAATGTATTAACAGTTATTATTATGTGTACAAGTTCACTCAATGAAAATAAAAAACTCAAGCAAATTCACGCAGGCAGCTAATTAGCAAATATATAGATACATATATATACAAATATGTCTATATCTTTTAGATACCGCCCATCAAATGCTTACGAGACAATTGCAAATATAAAACTATATATTTATATAGTCCAACCAGTTATAGAGACAAATTTGACGCGCAAACAATGACACAAAGAAAATATATTTTAAAAAATATATTAAATATACATATATATATATATAAAATATATATCAAAGAAAAAATATATATGAATATATATATATATATGAAATATAAATTTTGAGCACATTTAGTGTATATGAATGGTAACTTGATAAATCTTTTTTGAAATGTATTTTCCAATTTATTACTTGAGCCCACAAACCGAAAACGAAACATGACAAAACAAAAACCATTTAAAATGCACAATCTTTATCTCTTTGTCTTTAACTAACTCACACACTTAAACAATTTACTGTACACATTTTGCAGCTTCGTTTTGTTGTTGTTGTTTTCATAGTATAATTTAATATACACAGAAGATAGCGAAAAAGAAAAAGATTTCGAAAGTTACTAATTGAATGTCAGCTAAAGGTATGTATGTCTACGAATAAAGCATATACTTAAATGTGTTTCAGTGTAAAAACAATAAATGAAAATAACTAAGACAAATATTCTTTAAAATCTATAGATGTGATTATATAATATATATACATAAGGCAAAAGCAAAAACAAAATACAGTAAAAAAAAAGTGGAAAATAAGCGAAACAGAAAAATACACAAAAGACACGTATGAAAAAGAATAGTAAATGAAATTTGCATTATATTGAATCAAAATATTATTATAAATGTATTTACCTAAATATATATATAAATATATTGGTGTACGTACAAACCGCAGTTTGAAAAAGAATTTAAATAAATAAATAAATATATATATTGCTATACAGTTATTAATGTAAAAATATATATTCGAGGTCTCACACGAAATGCTGAAAATATTTAACGGCATACAAATTCAAATGATGTCGCATGGGACCTCGAAACAAAAAAAAAAAACACACTTATTCGACTTATTCAATTGGTACTGGGTTACTTTCGAACTCCAATATATCGATACTTGGCTCACTTCAAGAACATTAAGCTCGCATTTATGAACTACTTTTGCAAGTCTCAAACCACATTTCGATTATTTCTGTTGCTTTCGCCAACTTTGTCGACTGTTTTCTTGTCAAATGTTTTTTTTTTTCGAAATCCAACTAACGACACTTTGTTAAATCTAGTTAGCAGTTTCACAGTGATTTGCAGTAAGTGTTAAAATTTATTCAACGTATATATAAATTTCACTGGTTAACTTGTCAAATAATTCAAGTACTGCTTTCAGAGAGTTTCAAATTATATTTCGATATTTCTTTTCATTATTTAAACATCGATAATAGTCGCGCCACTTTCAAACAGGGCTGTTAAATCAAACCAGCTGTTTTTAACAGAGTTTGCATTGCTTACGCTGTATGATTAAGAGTTGACAGGCTTTGTGTGTGTTGCCACATCAGAACAAGTTGTTGCTTTTTGTTGTGTGTTTAAAAACAATAACACCCGATCGAGGCTTAAAAATTTTGTCACAATAAATTAATAGTATGTTTTAGGCAGTAATAATACATTCGTGTGGTGCTCGGTTGATTACACATGTGTAAATAACGTGCAAATCGTCAATACGTTGAACACGTCAGATCTCTCTTAGTGCAGCATCCGTTGCCGATAAAAAAAAGAAGCAATATATCAAAAGAGTTCTTTATCAATCGGAACCGGAGAAGCACAACTGAGTCAGGCCAAGCAAATCAAATAAGTTTATTTATTTTGACGAAACCAAGCGAGCATTAGAATACAGGCAAAACATGGCCGAAACGAATATTGACGTTAGCGGCGAAATGGAAATGCCGTCGCGTTCATCTGCTGGTGAAAACAAAGTCAACATTGATCTGCAAAGGTAAGTAGAAGAATCCAACTGAACCAAACATATGCACCGTACATAATATGCTACTTTCAGCATCCCCGCACTGCAGAATTTGCCTTCACCATTGGAGCTGTTGCACTCGGTGCGACGATCGCTGCGTCCATGGACTGTATTCTTTAACTTGAATAACTTCAAGTCGGCTGTCAGTATGCAACGCCTGAAGAACCGTGTTTCACGCAATCTATCATATTTCCAAAGCAACTACATATTCATATTTTTCGTACTGATGATATACTGCCTGTAAGTACGATTATTTATTTACCTCAATTCCAAACAGTTGTTTAAATAGTGTTTACTTTCTTTTTTGTTGTTATTGTTGCCGCTGCTGTAGAATTACATCGCCGCTTACTCTACTGGTTATAGCCGCCGTCGCCTTTGGCTGTCATAAGATACGATCGATCAACAAGAACGTCTGCGTTGTGGGCTGCGATGTTACACCACAGCAACAGATTCTGGCTCTCAATTTGGGCGCGGCACCGCTGCTCATATTGGCTGGCGCTGGCGCCGTTCTATTTTGGACGCTTGGCGCCTCCTGCTTTGTGATCTTCATGCATGCGGTATTTTACAATATTGATGCGATTGTGACCGAGGAAAGCGACAGCTTCTATGTCTAATTAACGAGCCTGACAACGAATACGAATATACTAGAATCTTAAAGCCGTAGCTAATTAGTTTCGCCACACAGGGGCCTTATTAGACAATAAGTTTGCAATTTCTATATATAACTATATATACATTAATATCTATATATATATATGTGGTTATATATATTTAGAGTATAATTCTAACCATATCCGATATGTAATTAAGTTTAATCAGCAGCGCAAGAAATGTTGCCTTCAACGTATTGACCAAATACACAACAAGAAACGATTTCATTTGTTTAAATATATGTATAATATATATATTTCTTTTAATAATTGCACATAAATGATGTATATTAATTATATAATGTGTAGTTAAAGCAATTTTGGCAAGAGTAGAAAATATGGAATGGTTGAAAAAGGAATGCACATAGTAAATAAAATAAATAATACATATATCAAATAAATTCACTGAGGTATTTAGAACTAGAACTATATGAATGACGCTTAGTTAGCTTTACAAAATAGATAAGTCTCTTGGTCCAGGTGTGTGTGTGTGTGTGTAGAAACTAGGCGTACTGTGAGAGTGATGTCGTTTCATGCTCCTGCTCCTCATCGCTGGCATTCTGATCGAGCTTCTCGAACCCGTTCCGGTCGAGCAGGCCGCCCAGCTTAAAGCCCTCCGTCTTCTCCCAGGCATGACGGCGGTTGTGTGTGCCAAAGGGCAGGCAACCTGTTGAATCACAAAATTGAACAGGTAAAATCAAGTAATAAAAGTGTTACAAACACAGAGAACATGGATATATATATATATGTATGTACACGCCATGCAGCTCTTACGATCATTCATGCAGCAGCATTTGACTTTGCATCAATTTCATTCGCTGCAATATCAAAGAAATCAATACAAGGTAAACAAAAGACATTTAAGAATAGAGATTATTTCTTACATACGTATAAATTTATGTGTATATGTATTTTGTATAAAAATATATTGATGTATGTTTGTTTATAGAGTAAGTAAAGGAGATTACAAAATGAGATTCGTGTTGGAGCAAGTTCCAGCTGATGAAGGCAAAGTAAAGATCACGACAAATCAACTTATAATAAACAATTACATTTTTACACACAACTACAAAATGGAACTGGAACATATATGATATTGGTTAGCACAGACTTTGATTGGATGCTGCCAGCTGGCGATAGACCAAATCACTGGGCGGCATTGAGCTGATCGCTTGATTACCTCGTTTGCGACGGCGCGCCATAATCAGCGCCAACGCAAATGTTGAGCCAGCGAACAGGAGCATCATTGATGCCACCATTATCGCCTTGCCACTGGGATGATGCGCTGTTTGCGTTTGATCAATATTGTTCATTGTTTCCGACGTATTTGTTGCTATTGCTGGCTCGCTTTGAGCGCTGCTAATGATCTTCACAGCAGACAGGGACAAAGGCTTCGCAATGGATTTGTGCACAAATTTGTGAATACGCATGGGGTTCAGTTCAGCCACATAGATGCAATTGCCATCTTCGGTGACGGCCACATCGTGTGGATTCTCGAATTGCAGATTGTTCGGACCGAACTTGGAGATCAGCTGCTTGTTGCGCATGCTCATCACAAAGCCATACACTTCGTTGGAGTCCGTTGGTGCCACGCCCAGTTCGGCGGTGGGCCCATTAACAATCACCAGCTCTCCGCCTAGCAAACGAATTCACATTAACAATATTCAGCGCATGTTAAGACAAGTCTCACCTGCAGCAGGTGTATAGGCCATGCTGAACAGACGATCGCCAATGAGTGGATTGTGGTATTGCGAATGGAATGTCCCATTGTTTGAGTAGAAGCATTGCACGCGTCCATTTTCACGATCTGCTGCGCACAGCAGCTCCAGTTCGGGCACCAGCGTCAATGCATGCGGAATGGCGAAGAAATTGGGTGGCGCTACATCGTAGGAGAAGCCAGCAAAGGAGTTTTGTCCCCAGACTAGGATCTGTTCGCCCTGCTTTGAATATTTGATAATACGTGCATTACAGTAGCCATCCGCCACAAAGAAATCTCCATTATTCAACACAGCCACCGCGGTAGGCTTACAGAATTTCTTCCTAATGCCAGGATGAAAAGCAGAGCCGAGGGTAAGCAATGGTTTGCCTCCTGCGCCTCGTGGTGGGAACTTGAATACCTGATGCATGGCCACATCTGTTACCCAGACATTATCCTCGGGATCAATGCTCAAACCATGGGGCATGTAAAAGCTGTACGAACAAAAGGCATACATGAAAAACAACAGCAAATGGTGGTAAATTTTGGGAACTTACAAATTTTTACCCCATGAATAAAGTACTTTGCCCGACTCGGGCTCTAGACCGAGCACAGTGTTCTCCCTAATGGGTCCCATGTTGCGCTCCTGATATACGTTGGAATTGTTAAACGTTGTCTGGCTCCAAATTCGATCGACCCTATGAAATATGACCACATTGCCGGCCTTATCAAAGCTAACAGCAGTGACGGCGCCCAGTTTCACATTATTCGCTGGCCAGGCGTTCTGGTAGACGTAAGCTGAAAATTAAGAACAGGTACAGCTAAACTATAAAACAGCTTTGTAGCTTACTCACTTGTATTCAGTTTGGCCATCTCTGTCTTTACGTCGGTAACTTCCTGCTTGGCACGCTGCGGCCAATTTGGCTCAGCTGCACCGACACCTTTCAGCATTTGGTGCAGTCGGTCGTTGTTGCTCCCAATGGGCCCATTTTGTAGATAACGTTGATTATCGACATTCTGTGAAAAGATTAGACTGTTTTTAGGTTTCGATTTCAAATTTTGCCACGGTTGCATAAATTATTCAAAGCAGTCATGTACACACACACACCCACGCACTCTCACACATATGGGCACATGTCAGTGTCAGTGTCAGCGTGTGACGTCACAAAACAAAATCAAAACATATGTTATTTTATTTAACATGCAGCTAATGAACTATTATTGTGATTAACATGCAATTTACCTCGGTTACAGCAATGGATGCTGTCAACGGACAACCACAGCACAAAAGGACGCCAATTAACGCCAGATAATTGTAACAGCTACGCGCACAATTGTTATAGCTGAGAATGTCGTTTTTTTTGTTGAAGCGCGTCATTGTTTGCGCGTGAATTGGAATGTTGATCGTTGTTGGCGAACTGCTTAGGCTAAGCGTCAATTCCTGCGCTATACACGCACTATAATTCTCAATACGTTTTGGAAATAACTGATTTATGTGGTTGCAGCAGCCATTTTAACTGGTTGATTGTTCGAACAGCTGGTAAAAGTGACCAGCTAAAATTGGACAAATATATGGTCAGTCTAACGATATGTATCGAAAGTGTACACAAGTATCGTTTTTAAGTGTGTATAAAAACGGTTCAATATATCATTTTTATTTAGTCAGTAAAATTATTAGAAGCAGGTAACATTTGAATTACTTCAAAAATTCAAGTAATAGAAAAAAAAAAAAAAAGAATATAAAAAGTAATTGAAGCTCCCGTGACTAACAGTGCAAACACACAGATCAGAAGCGCTGTAAATCGCAGTTGCTGCAAACACGAAAATATCATACATTTACAATGAAACTTGTAAATAGCTTTATATTTTTATTAATAATAGCAGCTGTTGTGTTTGACAGCGAATGTAGCTTTATTGCAGCGGTTTCACAACTCAATAGCTTCAGGCATGACACTGATCCCGGCGATCCTTTGTTTCTAACGCCTCTCTTGAATAATAAATCACTGCCCAAGGAAGAGGTGCGGAAGATGGCACGCGTTGTAGGAAAACAGTTTCTTAGAGTCGAAAGTTATGCGGGATATTTGACCGTGGATGAGGCTTACAATTCCAGTTTATTCTTTTGGTATTTTCCTGCTGAGCAGGATGCGGATAATGCACCTGTTTTGTTGTGGCTTCAAGGAGGTCCTGGTGCCTCCTCGTTGATTGGACTCTTTCTAGAGAATGGTCCATTTAGGGTAGTCAATAAAAAAAAACTGCAGAAGCGAAAATATAGCTGGACTACCACACACAATGTCATCTTCATAGATAATCCTGTGGGCACCGGTTTTAGCTTTACCGATGACGATAAAGGATATGCACGAAATGAACACGATGTGGGCGAAAATCTTTATGAGGCAATAGTCCAGCTCTACAAATTATTCGACTGGAGCAATTCGCCGGGTTTCTGGGTTACTGGCGAGTCCTACGCTGGCAAATATGTGCCTGCGTTAGCCTATCATATCCATCAGGCTCAAGCATGTGAGGATCACCAGGATAATATACCGCTGAAAGGTATGATCATTGGCAATGGTCTCTCAGATCCTTTGAATCAGCTAAAATATGGCGATTATCTGTATCAATTGGGACTCATCGATGAGAATGGCTTGGCGGAATTCCATCTCGCCGAAGCTGCTGGAGAGGATTGCATTACGCGTGGGGATATGGACTGTGCTGCTGATATATTCGACTCCCTAATTCTGGGCAATCTGCCAAGGAGTTCGCTATTCAAGAACTTGACGGGATTCGATTGGTATTACAACTATTTGCAAAGTCAGGATGAGGATTTTATTGCACCACTTGCCCGATTCGTTCAGAGAAACGTCAATCGTCGTGCTATTCATGTGGGCAGCAAGGCCTTTAATGGTATCGAGAAGGTGAAGGGGTTCATGAAGAAGGATATGATGGATACTGTGGCACCTTGGATAGAGGAGCTGTTGCACCACTACACTGTCTGCATATACGCTGGGCAATTGGATATTATAGTGCCTTACCCATTAATCCGAAATTTTTTGAATAAGCTGAACTTCCCATGCACCGATGAATATAAAAAAGCCCCTCGTCGAATCTGGAGGGTCGATGGAGAAATAGCGGGCTATATCAAGCAAGCTGGCAATTTAATTGAGGTATTAGTTAGGAATGCTGGACACCTGACTCCGTTGGACCAGCCCAAGTGGGTGTACGAGTTGATCAATCACGTGACTCACAACAGTGATTAAATTTTAAACTATTTACACCTGGTAAATGCTATTTAGCTCAATTACTATTTTTAAATTTTATATAAGTTTTGTAAAACTTTGTACTATTTTTATTTAATTAAAGTCATGAATATCCAAAGATTTTTTTGTCTTCATTTAAATATCTATACTGGTGTTATCTTAATTTTAATTTTATTTCTAAGTATAGAATATATTAATTATGATCCCAAGCGATCTTATCAGCAAAATATATGCCAATTTAACTATTTTTTTTTTCAATTCCATTTATTTTTGTATTTTTAAAAACCGCTTACCGGCAATACTCAAAACTGTTAACATTTATCACGTTACTCAAATTGGTACTGTTAGTTGACTGCGTCGTGCAACACTAAATAGCCTCGTTTTGAAACACTGAAATGCTCAACACACACAAGCACCCCGCTTCCCGCTTTGCCTAAATGTCATTATTATTTTTCGAGTTTCATCCGCAGCCACAGTGCAAATTGCTGCCGCACGTTAATAAATTATAATATTTAACAATAATAATACAAACTTAAAGCTAAAACATAGCTTTAAACGTTCATCAACTTAATTTAAGTGTTAAAATAGTTCTAAAGTGTCATTAAATCGCAAAAAGAAAAAAACGAAAAGCAAATACAAAACAAAAAGCCTAGAATAAATAAAATAAAAACCTCTCAAGGCACGCAGCTAAGCAAGAGGTCGTCGTCGTCGTTGTGCTATTTGTTGTTATTTGTCAGCGTCACATGCGCCTCTGCCGTTGCTGTTGAATAAGTTTCACATGTACAGCTAATGTGCATACCCTATAGCTGCAATTGCCCTGGTGAATGCAAACTAAAGTACGAAAATACATTGCGAAGACTTTAAAGGTGAGTGCGCGGCATCAATACAGAATGTACCAACAACAAAAATTGAAACTGTTATAACATATGCGACAGTGGCGTAGTTTAACGGGGGCCAATGGACGGCAGAATGTGCCGAGCGAACGAGCGAGCGAGAACCTGATTTGATCAAATTGCAGCTGCATTTTATCGAATTTCAACAGCAAAAACAACCACAATGTAAGAAACTAGAAAAGTGCAACAAGACATTTAGATATATGGTATATATGGGCAATTGGTAGGGTGCATGCAGCGAAATGCTTAACTCCCTTTCGGTGGTTGCAATGCGCCCCTTCTTCCTTCTGCCTGTCACAATTTGATTTAGGCACGTCGCCTTGTCTCGCTCCGCTCTGCGTCTTTGTATCCCTCTCCTTCTACTTTTACTGCTACTTCTACTTCTACTTCTTGCGCTGCTGCATTGCATTTTAAATTGCAGTTTACATGTTGCTAAAAACTCCACGCACAATTGCAAGACAAAGAGACACCATTTGTTTGCATTGTGTTGCCAATAAAAATATTTGCATTGTGTTAACGCGCTCTTTACCAACCATTGCAGCTGTGCAGCGGCAACAACTGAAGGAGGATCAAGCAGGATCATGCAGCATCATGTGCATGCGACTCGGGCAGCTCCACATTTACGGCATCACAGTCATCTGGCGATGCCGTTTCCCACCATGGAGCAACAAATGTTGAGCACACTAATAGCAACTGCACCAGAACAACAGCAACAACCGCAGCCGCAGCAGCAGCAACAACAGCAGCCGCCGCCACCGCAACGGGAACATGGACGGTAAGGAATGCTATGTATGATGGAGGCAATGCTCTTAGCTTATTTGGGTAAAGACGCCGTCTTGTCTAGGCTCTTGGTCTTCTTTCTTACGTACGTTGCGGCAATTATGTTAATTCCTGTCACTGACAATCGCCTGTGAGACTCATCATCCCATTTTCTCAACTCATAAATTATAATTTCAGTGGCTCTTTGTTCTTTAGCGCTCAGCATGACTTCCGCTCGATAACGGGTTTTCCAGCGACAGCAGCAACAGCAACAACAACAACATCGGCAGGCTACAATTATCCTTGACGTTCGTTGGGATTCGCCAGTTTCTCTCATTTTACTTTTTTTATTTCATTTTTTGCTCAGTTTGTCGCCTTTTGTACGATCAGATGTTTCGCTCAGAGTTCAACCTAATCGACCCGCCGCCAGTTGCTCTGCAGTCGCTGTTCGTCTCGCATCCGCTGCGAACGTTTCGAAGCTAACGTTTTGTTTTATGCTAAAGCATGTAAAAGACTTGTGTCAGGTGATGATGCGAGCACTATTAGTAACTAAATGCTTGATAACTGCATTACAAAGTGAGCAATTACCTGGCGAACCTATTCATAGTGAGTGTGAGAGAGCGCATTTGCTTAACAATGAATTCGGGAAACAGTTGTGGAAGTGCAGTGTGACATGGAATTCGAATGACAATTTGATTAACATGCGAAAAGTTTTGATATATAAGCATTGCTTTGAGTATTGTTTTATAACATTCTTGAAGACCCTCAGACCTTTAAGTTCTGTCAAGTAAAAAGCTATCTCTGTTTATCTGAAATCGAATGGAATTTCATAATACTGTTAAATTCTTCTAAAATTCTATGAGAAAAAAAAAAAAAAAAGAAATGATTACTCCCTGACTACCCGTTTTCAATGGGTTCATATATTTGTGTAGTGCTTTAATTTTTTAGAGAGAATTCAAATTGTATAAGGAACCAATACTCCTATAAAGCAGCCTGTTTTAAATACTTAAGTAAAAGACCATGTCGAGAGCCAAGTTGTAATCAAGTAAGATATATGAAATTCCTTTTTATTATAGCAGGATATGTTATAATAAGCAATCTTCCTTTTAGTTTTATATATTAACTGCCTAAGTTGAGAATTTGTCCAAGTGTCAAGCATCTTATCTGTTCCATCAGAAAGTTTCTGAACAAGTGCTGATAATTTTATAAAATATTAATTATAAACAAATTTGGATATATTGCAGCAAGTTTGACATCCTGCCTAATTTCACAATATTTTTAAATAATTCAATTATGAAATGCATTCAGTTCCGTTTCCTGTTTATTAAAGCACAGCAGTTCAGTTGAACAGCTTTGTTTAAGCTCAACTCGCTGTGATAATTTCTTAATAGATTTAACAATTGCAAATTAACTCGACCAGTGCCCAATACACAGAGGTTTATTGGCCAAGAAGTGGTCATCCACAGATTTGCCGGATTTCCATGTGTAAGCCCATTCTCTCTGTCTTCCTCTCCCTTTCTCTCTCTTTAACTCTATGTAGCTTTTGGGTAGGTGCGTCTCAATTGAAGCTGACAGTTGGCGAAAAATGACACGATGCGTAAAAGAATGCGGCTTTTGTGCTTTGTTAGGGATTTTTGCCATTGTTCAGGCCTTACCGCTGTTGTCTGTAGCTGCAACAACAACAACAACAACAGCAGCAGCAGCAGCAGCAACAACAACAACTAGGGCCATGGCGCAAAGGGTGAACCGCTGTATTGCCTTTGACCGTGTGTTTTCTTTTTGTTTTGTTATTTTTGTTTTCGATGGCCACTCAATATAGCATTTTATGTACTTAGCCCCAGCACTTTGTGTGCGCTCGAGCAGTTCAAGTTTATCATTTCACAAGATTAGAATAGTTAGAGGAAACCAAAAAGTTCTATAAAAAAATATTTTAGAATTTATTAAGACTTGGCACAGATTAACGAATAAATGTATTAAGCAGTTTATATTTAAATTATCAAATATTTATTAATTTACAAAAATATATTTTAGAGATTTAAATTTATTTTATGCAATATGATTTCATAGAATTTTCATAATTTTTATTATTTCAATTCATTAATCTTTATTGTTTTCTTACTTTTGTTCGTTTGCTTGTATTTGTAGATTAAACATTCATCACATAGGCTTTGTATTAATATAAGATTTCGTGCACAAACGATTTTTTTTTCAGAAGTCAGACAATTCCAGTAAATTTAACTTTTGTATACACCTGAATGTTTTTAGTGCAGTTTTGAAGTTGCAGGTGTTGCTAAATTTTTAGCGGGGTCTTCTGAACCCAAACAGAAATTCGTCGAGTATTTAAAGAATTGTTTCTTTATAGGGTATAGACAAGTGTAAATATTAATATAGCAGCCGTAGAAAATTGTTGGAACAGAATTTTCGATATCAAAATTATGGTGAACAATTGATGCGAATTGTTAAGACTATTTAGCAAATGCTGATGTTTCTTTTATCAAAGTCCACTACATTTTACACACACTTGCAGCCTGAATCATCATCATCATCATCAGCAACAGCAGCAGCAGCAGCAACATCATCAGCCGCATCATCACGCCCTCGCACAGCAGCAGCAGCAGCAGCCACAATTGAATGCCGCATATCACAACAACAACAACAACAGTAACAGTAACAACAACAACAACAACAACGCCAACAAGAACAACAACAATAGCAATCAAATGCAAAAAATACGACAGCAACATCAACATCTCAGCAATGGCCATTTAGCAAATTGCAATCAAGCACCGCCGCCAGCAGCAACTCCACAGGGCTTCAATCATCCAACGGCGCTTGGTTATGGCCAGCTGCCACATCACATGGCACATTTGGGCAGCTATGCGACACAGCCGCCGCCGGCGGCGCTGCAGAGCGGCAAACAGCCGCATTACTACCTGAGCAATGCCAAGCCCTCCAAGTACAGCAATAATGCCAACAATAATAGCAACGGCAACGGCAGCAATAGTGGGAGTGGCAACGGCAGTAGCTATGCCCATTCATCGAAAACCATTCTGCAGAACACCTATCGTCCGGCCAAGATCAATGGCCAGGCGTGCGGCTCAGCCACAGAGCCAGTAGCAGCAGTTGCTGCGACAGCGGCAGCTCCTGCTCCTGCTCCTGCTCCTGCAGAGCACTCGCAGCGCAATGTGGGCAGGGGCAGCAATAGCGATAACCATGTCCTGGCCAATGAGGAGATCTGTGAACTGGCGCCAGACGTGACGCCCAATTGCTGTGAGCCATCGGCGCCGTCGGCAGCGCAGGCCGACGATCGCAGCAGCAGCGCCGAGCATATGGATGCCGCTGGCACGCTCTCCAATGAGGATGGCAGTACGGGGCGCAATGGCAAGGACAAGACGCCCATGTGTCTGGTCAATGAGCTGGCCCGGTACAACAAGGTGAGTAGCTAAAGCCTCTGAATATATTGAGAAATATTCATATCATCTCTGTGTGCCCCACAGATCACGCATCAGTATCGCTTGACGGGCGAGCGCGGTCCGGCCCATTGCAAAACCTTCACAGTCACCTTGAAGCTGGGCGAGGAGGAGTACTCGGCAGATGGTTTCAAAATCAAGAAAGCCCAGCACTTGGCCGCCTCCAAGGCCATCGAGGAGACCAAATACAAGCATCCGCCACCAAAGATACGTCGCAACGATGAGAACAGCTCCACGCGCACCCACATCACGCCCACCGTGGAGCTGAATGCGCTGGCCATGAAGCTGGGCCAGCGCACCTACTATCTGCTGGATCCGACGCAAATGCCGCCTGCCGAGCAAATGCTACCACCCGAATATGCCACACCGTTGTTGCCTACACCGGCGCCTGGTCTACCGCCACCGCCACCGCCGCCATTCGCACTGCGCCGCAATGCCAACGGCAGCTACGTGTTGCCAGCACCGCCCATGCATCCGCATCATGTGGCGATGCAGACGCAACGCGCCATCTACGGCCATCAGCGCCCGTATGCGCCGAAATATCAGTCACGCTTTACTTTGGCCCCGGCGCTGGGGCCGCATATGCTGGCCGGGCCGCATGGGCCCTATGCGCCCGCCCTGCCCGTGACCCCGAGCAAGATAACCCTGTTCGTGGGCAAGCAGAAGTTCGTGGGAGTGGGCCGGACACTGCAGCAGGCCAAGCACGATGCGGCGGCGAGGGCGCTGCAAGTGCTCAAGACGCAGGTGAATAGCGCAACAGAGGAGGCGCTGGACGATTCCATGGATGAGGGCGACAAGAAATCGCCCATATCGCAGGTGCACGAGATCGGCATCAGGCGCAACATGACGGTGCATTTCAAGGTGCTGCGCGAGGAGGGCCCGGCGCACATGAAGAACTTCATCACGGCCTGCATCGTGGGCTCCATTGTGAGCGAGGGCGAGGGCAATGGCAAGAAAATATCGAAGAAGCGTGCGGCGGAAAAGATGCTAGCCGAGCTGCAGAAATTGCCGCCGCTCACGCCCACCAAACAGACGCCCATGAAGCGCATCAAAGTGAAAACGCCCGGCAAGGGCGGTGCGGCAGCGGCGGCAGCTGCCACAGGCATGACAGCTGCCGCCGTCACACCGCTCGCCAAGCCAGAGCGACGCAAGCGCTTGAGTGCACATCAAAAGGAGAAGTCAACGGCCGACCAGGATGATGCCGAGAATCCCATCACGAAGCTCATACAACTGCAGCAGACGCGCAAGGAGAAGGAGCCCATCTTTGAGCTGATTGCCAAGAATGGCAACGAGTCGTGCAGGCGGCGTGAATTCGTCATGGAGGTCTCGGCCAGCGGACGCACAGCGCGCGGCACGGGCAACAGCAAAAAGCAGGCCAAACGTAACTCCGCCCAGGGTGAGTTAAAGTTGATTAGAAATGCATGACGTATGCTAATGCCACCTCTCTTATATATGTAGCCCTGCTGGAATTGCTGGAGGGTACGGAGCACAGCGTTGGGGAGATGGAGCATGTCGTGGACCATAATGTGCCGACAGTTGCAACGGCGGCTGTGCCGGCAGCTGCGCTCACTATGGAGCCAACTGTCGGCCTCGAGGTGCCCATGGTCTCAACGCCTGCGGGTCCTGTGCCCGGCATTCTAATACTACGCCAAAACAAGAAACGTAAGTGAATATTTCGTGTGGATGTGGATTTACGCTCTTACTTAATTTCACTTTCACGCAGCAGCGAAGAAGAAAGATGCGGTGGTTGTGGTCAAAGCCAACATGGAGACAGCTAAGGAGAAGCAGGCCAAAGCAGAGGCTGCACCAGCTGCAGGGGATAAGAGCACTCACAACAGCAACAGCCACACAAATATTAATAATAGTAACAACAACAGCAACAACAACAACAACAACAGCAACAACAGCAACAGCAGCAATGAGTCTCATGCCCATGAGGCGGCCAATGAGAGCAGCCTGAACACCTCGACGGGCAGCAATACGAGCGGCGTCAGCAGCAACAGCAGTAATGCGCCCGGAGCCAGCAGCAATGCCAGCGGCGGTGGTGGCGACGGCAACAACAATGCTGGCGGTGGTGCAGGCAGTGGCGGTGGCGGCGGCAGTGGCAGCGGCGGTGGTGTGCATATGAAAGAGCAGCTCATATATCTTAGTAAATTATTGGATTTCGAGGTGACTAGCTGCAGTTGAAATATATAGCTCTAGGGTGTAACTAACGCCTCTCTCTTTCTCTCTGTGACAGGTCAACTTTTCGGACTATCCCAAGGGTAATCATAATGAGTTTCTAACCATTGTCACGCTGTCGACAACGCCGCCGCAGATCTGCCATGGCGTGGGCACGAGCTGTGAGGAGTCACAGAATGCAGCCGCACGCAATGCACTCAAAATCTTAAGCGAACTGGGCCTGAATAATGCCAAGAAATAAGCCAAACTAATCAACTGCAATTTATGTATTCTTTTTATTTTTATTGCTAAAAAGCAAAGAGAAAAATGCAAAAAAAAAAAAAAAAAAAAAAAAAATCACCCGTCCACAAATCAAACCTGAAAAAATGAAAAACTAAGTAAAACGTGAAAGAAGAGTAGAGAAAGAAAAAACAGAAAAAAAAAAAAATAAACAAACGCTGTGTGCAAGAATGAAAAAGAAGAAGATCAAAGAGCAAAGTATGCAAGAAAAACAAAAACGAAAGGAAATCAAAGCAAGAAACAGTAATTTTTGAAATAGTAAATTATTAGTTAATACCTATTTATTTATTTATGTGCAAGTGTGCGCAATGTGCATTGTTTATTTGAATATTTGTTTTATATAAATACAATGCGCAGGCTGCATAAACTGCAGCTATATTATATTTAATTTATTTGTTGTTTAAAAATGTTATTGAACAGAAAACCGAAACTGAAACTGAAAACAAAAAATGAGAGCTACAACTAAACATAAACAGAGCTAAATAAATTATCAATTAAAATGTACAATATTGCAGCATACACACACACACACACTATAAATTAAATATATTTATATATATTTAAGATGAACGCTCATTAGGCACTTGAATTGAATTGATGAACAAATTGTATTAAACAAAGCTAAATATTTATTAACTGCATGCGGCTGTTGAGAGGCTTATGCAGTGCTTTCAAAAAATAAATACAAAAATTTGTTTGCCACATAATTAAACAAAAAAAAAAAAAAAAAAAAAAAAAACAAACAAAAAAGAAAAACTAGAAAAAACAAAATTTGTAAACTGCACACGCTTGTGAAAATTTTTCATTTATTTTTTCAAAGCCAGTAAAGGGAGCATAAGAACTGCTGCTGCTTGTGGTAAAAATGTATGATGGAACTCGTCGAATAATGAATCTATATAATACTATTATTAATAATACTATATATATAAATGAAACAAAATATATATATGTGTAAGCCTGAACAATTACAACGATCAAGCAACTAATTGTGCAGCTAAACAAATTTCTTGCTAACTTTTGCACTCACAAATTCCGATGCTCATTATCATGATCATTATTTTGTGAATTGCAAATTGGAAGCTTGAAATTTGTGGCAGCCCAATTGAGTGCCACAATTTGTGGCAACCGAATGTATGGCATTGCTGTGAATTGTGGCCAATTGTGGCGTAAATTGTTGGCTTGTAGTTGATAATGAAGAAAATACAATTTACATAATCGTTAATTATTATAATTAAATGTTTAAAAACCATTTTGTAAATGCTCAGTTTTTATTCGTTTTGGCATTTGGCTTACAAAAAGCTGAGCATCTTTATGAATAGCGTGTTGTTTAAATGTTCACCCAGTTTGGTTATTGTTTAACTTATGTTTTATCACACAACAATTCTATACTTTATTATAAAAAAAACACACACACACAGACACAAACAGTTGATATATTCGCATGTTATGAAACGAAATTCTTTGTACAATAGTTTTTAATGACTTTATTAATTTGCCCAGTAAACAGCACAGATTAAGCGTTAAGTTGCATTATGTCAAATTGTATTTTGTGAAAAACAATTCTCGTCTCGCAACAATGTGCATGCTTTAACTAAAAACCCAAATGAAACGAATAATTAAAAAAAAAAAAAAAAAAAAAAAACTAAATAACAAGAAGAAAAATATATATGGCAAAAATCGTATGAAATAATAATTAAAAACAAGAGTCTTAAGTCTAAGCGATTTATATAAACAATTTTAATAACACATCCAGTATTAAAACATAAAAATAATGAACAAACGCAGACACATAAATCAATGATAATTAAATATATATATTAAATATAAAAATAAATAATACAAACAAAATCTTAAATCATGCACATTGTTTGCATGCGTCGTACCCCACTCTTCCTCAACTGCCCTCACAATTTGTTAGAAGATTTTGCAAAATTAAAAGGAACATACTAAATTAAAAAAAAAAAAAAAAAAAAAACTAAAACTTTAACGAAAATTCTTGCAAAATCTTCACAAAAAATTAATAAGTAGTATAATAATATAATATATAATATAATATTGTACAACTCTATTTATAATGAAGGAAACCAACTAATCTGTTCATTAAGACCAAATACAAAAAAAAAACAAAACAAAAACGAAAAACAAAAAGTTGTGAGTACAGCTAATCTACATTTATTAACTTTTAAGCAACAAGAAAAACAATAAAAAATAGAAAAAGAAGAAGAAGACGGTGAGAAGAGGAACAACAAGAAGTGTTAGTGCTAAAAGGAAAAAAGTCTTGTCTTTTGTGCGAAAAGAAATACCTAAAAGAAATTACAAACTATATGATTATATGTAAAATGTAATACTTGTAATAAACATTCAAATAAAGTTGAAAACTGTCTTTGATTTTAATGGAGCTGTCTTTTTATAATGAATATATGGGTAGAAGATGGAAAAAGAATATATATATATAATAATTAATTATATATAAATTAATTTAATAATAAAATATATTTATACAAAATTCTTAAACTAGTTGGAAAAAACTCAAACAACAAACTTATCCAGTTGTGAATGAAATTCTATTATTTTTTTTTTTTTATTATTGTTTTTTATTCAAGCTAAACCATAAAACTTTTATACTGACTCAATTTTTTGTTTTGTTGGGGCTTTTTTGTGGAATGTATTTATAAAAATCTGCTGATTTATAAACTGCAAAGTCTTGAATTTATGGCACCTCTTAATATAAGCCATAAAAAATCAGACTTATATAATTGATAATAAAAATTAGTGAAAATTATTTCTAAATTCACAATCAAATTTGGTGACAGCTCGAACACGCATAAGGCTGAACAAAGAGATAGTGAGAGAGGTGAAAGGGGGCGAACAATTAACGCATCTTAATTTGACAAACATTTCACAATTTTGAAACTAAACGTTGAACGTCGAAACGTTTTCCATAATTGATATGCTTATTGGCTGCGATATAGATTATAAAGATTATCTGATTGCTATGACTAATATCGAAAATATTTTAATTGGCGTTGTTATCGGGCAGAGAAAGAGAGAGAGAATAAAAGAAAGAGAGAGGAAGGAAAAGAGAGAGAGAGAGAGAGAGTGAGTGAGAGGAGAGAGGACGCAAAGAGAAAGGTAAGCTCTTAAGATTGGATTCTTAAGAATATTAAGGATAATGTAAGACAAAAGGAATATTAATAATTTATATGAAATGATTTTTATATATTCATATTTTTCGAAGATAACCATTCCAACTTCCTCAAATTTTTAAAAATATTCTTTAAAAAAAAAAAATGGCTTAAATAAAATGAATCAAGCTTAAAAATGTCTGCTCATCAAATAATAAACCACTCTAGACCCTATTGAGCCAGTGATGTCTGTGATATCGCTTACACCATCAAAATGTATTCAGATCCATTAATATTACAATACATATTGTTTTTCTATCTTTTGAATATATTTCAGCAAATAAACATATTTGTTCCAGATATCCAGTAATACCCATTGCGTCGCTGGGGCTTGGCCCCTGTTACGGCGCTCCGATCTGATCGATTGCAACTAAATGTGGAAGTAGGCGCGCCTCTTGCAGCGCCTCATGCTCGTTGTTTCACTTTCTCCGCTGGCATTTTGTATTTTGGCTAGCGATTAAAATACAAGAAATTGTTGTTTGGTGGCCAAATGCATAATAAAAACATAAACTTAAATAAATGCCTTTATCTTGGCCCATATGCACATGCTAGCCGCGCAGCCAAGCCAATGGGATCTCTGCACTGCTCCAGCTTCCAACAACAAATCGGAAACCCGGCTAAAAAATGAAATGAAAAAAAAAAAAAAAAAAAAATCAAAAATCAAAATCAAAGCGCTGCCCGCGCATTTGCATATGCGAAGCGACTGCACAGATGCGCAGCCGGCTAAATGCTCTCCCTGTCCGTGTATGTGTGTGTGTGTGAGTGTGGAGAGTATGCGTGTCAGTGTGCGTGTGCGTGATTAATTTATGGCGCTGATAATAATCCGGAGCCGGCAACGCCAAGCTACAACGTGTGATTATGAAATTTGTATGTTTATTTTTTTTTTTTTCTTTTTCGCCAAAAGAAATCAATAATACGGCGGAGGAATGAAAGATGTGAAAGACGTAAAAGATACGACACGAGAAATTAACATGTGTTTGTCAGCGCCGGCAAAGACATTAGTAATCGCATACCCACACACACACACACACACACACACACACACACACAAACATACACACATATGTGTATATAACTCTATATGATGTAATAGGCATTTGGATTTGTTAGCATGCGCGGGAATTGGGTTTTTGGTTTTGGTTTCGGTTTTAGTTGCGAGTTTTTGGGTTTTTGGAATTTTTTCTGGTGCGGAAATGGAAGTTGAACTTGTTGTAATTAAAAACCAAATGCTAACTATGAATTTAAGCCACATTTTTGATGCATCGTCTACATATAAATATAGATTTTTATATATTTTTGTTGTTTGTTATATAAAATGGGAATTTGAGTGTTTTTTTTTTTTTTTTTCATCTCTTAAATTTCAAGCAGAAAATTTTAAGGCGTTAGCCAAATGAAAGTGAAACTTTTTTCTACCACAAACTGGAATATTTATACATTTCTTTTTGATGCGCTTCTTCGTCTTCTTCTTCTCTTTCGATTATAACATTTTTGTTGATGCGCGCTTTGGCTAATTTTGGGATTTTGATTTAGGTTCGGATTTTGATTTATCTGCATGTCTGGCTTAAAGCTATTTGTCTACTGATAATTTGGGGCTTTGACAAGCATTTAGAAGCACATGCCCATCCGTCTGTGTCGGGCTATGGAATGCCTATCGGTTGTAATCGTTTGATAATAAGTCTTGATAATTTAGCTCAGCTGCGTGCGGCTGCATTTCTGTATTGGATCAGTTTTTGGACTGGCGTGACGCGAATCATCATCATTTTGTGGAGCTGCATGCGCTCAAATTTCTTTTAATCATGTTTAATGAGCCGCCAGCTAGAGCCACCTGCTGAGGGTATTAGGCATTGTAGATGAAGCTTGTCAGGATTGGTGGGAGGACACATTAGGTTTAGATGAAAGATGTGATTGACAGCAAGTTGATGTGCCACTCACTTCTCATTAGCACTATATCATTAAGATATTCTGGCATATGGAAACTTAAACTTAAGGAAACTATTGAAAAAACCAAAGGTGGATAGGATATTAAATGTATAAAGGGTATATATATAAAGGGTATATGGTAGTAGAGTATAGAACAAATACATATATTTTTCATCATAGTATATACCATAGATGCACTTAATATATTTTTTACCGTATCAGCTTAGGGTAGGGTATACCCTAAAAACTCTTGACACACTTTTCGCATCAATTCGAGATAAGCTGTAGAAGTAAGTCAATTCCTCAATAGGAAAATTTACCTAAAAAAAAAAACGAAATAAAATAATATGAATAATAGTTAGTAATATGAATAATAGTTATATTTATAAAAATAATAAAATATTAATCTAGAGTATTCCGACGAGCAGAGTATTTCGACATTCCGTCCAGATCTTTCCACATCTCTCCCGATTTCTCTCTCTCTCTCTCTCTTTTACCCCGTTGAATGCTGTGCGTGCGTGTGTGCATGGCCAGAATATGAATTATTTATCTCAATTTGATATTGCTTGAATTTGCCTTTAGCCAGTAGCAGTTTGCCTAATGTGTTCACATTTGCATTTCTGTACGTAATTTGGATGCTGTTTGGATGTTGGTTAGCTTGCCCAATGATTGACTCGATTGCATAGTTGTTTCTGGTGCGTGTCTATGTTTCCTTTTTGTCTGTTTGCTTGCTTAAATGTCTCGGGCGACCCTCGTTTCATAGCGTTTTACATGTTTTCCAAATTCCAAAAAAATAATTCATCTTCTTTACTTCCATGTTAAGTTGGAAGTTTTCTGTGTTTTATTTTTAATTTAATTAATAGCAAAAAAAAGTCTTGTTTTAAAGGTCAACTTTAAAGCGAAAAATCCGAAATTGTTCATGAAAAAAAAAAAAAAATAAAATAAATAAAATACAACAATAAAGAAATAATGAAGTGAATAATCTTTGATTAAGTTAGCGTAGCTACATTTTAACTATGTTTATTTTATAAATTGCCTATACATTAATTTCTTCTTCTTCGTCGTCTTCTGAAATTTGAATAATTAGTGCGCTTAAATATATAATAAACACTATAATTATGAAACGCATGCAGGAAGCGAATTACAATAAGCAGAAAGAGAAAATAAACTTTGAATAAATAAAATCAAATAAAATAAAAATTAACGCGCCCACATTCGCATAATTAATAAGATCAATTTATGTATATACGAATATATATGTATATGTATATATGTATGCATAGATTTGAATTATGCCTAAAAAACGTGTGAAGTGCCAACAATTGGATTACTTTTGAATTGAAGTACAGTGAAGCACTTGAATGGAGAACAGAGCAGCAAAGTCTTAGCTCACTCGGTAGGCGGTCTAGCCAGTTCAGTCAGCTCCTAGACTTCTTTTTTTTTTTTTTTATTTAGCAGACAATCAACAGTATCATTAATTTCAATATCGAACTGAAAATAGAGAAATAAGTTTTGGTACAAGTGCTTGCATAACGATTATTTATATACATACATACATACATACATGCACATATGTATGTCTCTCTCACACAGGTATTTTGCATAAAAACGAATGTCTAGCGATCAATCGATCGATCTATCTATCCATCTATAGTTATGTGTACGATTGACGGATGCCACGGAAAATAATAAAAAACTCATTTATATTAAAGCATCACGTGAATGCTTTTATTTGTATGCAAGCAAAATAATACCCTGGAAATGTGTTTAAGTGGGTAGCTACGTATGCTGCGGTCAGCTTTATAGTGGACTTAAAGAAAAACCTTCTACTATTGAAATAGATTATATAATTAGCTGCGTTGCGCGCGACTGATAGCATAATACTCATTCACGCTCCAAAAATACATTAAATAGATTTAAAACTCTTTATCAATTTGCCATGCGATCATTTTGAGGCCTACCTATAGGCGTGCCTAAGTAGGCCAATTATGTCGAACTGCAGAGTTTTGTAGACACAGCTCTAAATGTGTTCAAGATATAATGAAATGAGTGGAGTGGATATGGCTGAGAAGAAGCAAGGGAATGGATAGATGAATATTTGAAAAAAAAAATTAATAAAATAATAATAATAATAATAAATAAATAAATGTCTAGTATATCCTCATTTATTTTCCTTTCTTTCAATCTATTGTAGAATTTTAGCTTTATAGATCTGATGTGCTTATACAAAGCAAATTTGATTTTAAGCCTAGCTAAATTTGAATATTAATTAAATATACTGAGAAGAACCTACAGATAGATAGAGAGATAGATAAAGAGATAGATAAGCAAAGAGACTGAAGGATAGGGCAAAGTTGTCTACTTTAGAGGCTTCGCTATCTTCCAAACGTCATAAAATAAATACATAGAAAAAATGTTCCTAAAAAAAATAAAAATAAATAAGTAAATACAGGGCAATTACAATGCTCATACATTAGTTATATTTGCAAATTTTTGCACACTTCTAATATGTATGTACACAACTATTTTTTGTTTGGTTTATTTTAAACGGATTTGTCAATAGAGAAGATGATGATGAATGACAAATTTGCCAATAAAAGAAAACATATGAAGTGTCATGTTTATAGATAAGGCACAAAAAAAGAGCTCAAAAAAAAAAAAAAAAAAAAAAAAAGCAGCACAGAAAACATTCAATCTAAACAAAATAAAGTAAAATAAAATAAATAATCAAATACAATGCACTATGGGGAAAAATCCAAATTATCGGGTATTAATTAATAACTTAAAAACTAAGCCAGATTTTTTGATCCGGTTTTTGTATTATTAATATGTATACCATCAGAAATATATTTTAGAAAAATGGGCGTGTCACCGCCCACCCAAAAAAAATTTATTAAAATTTTGTATTAAAAATTTTTTTTTTTTTTTAAGAATTTTGCTTGTTCATACTTTAAAATAATAATTTTAATTGAAAACAATCGAACTTTCATAAAATCGAAATTAGTTTTCTTCAGTTTCGAGTTCCAAATCAGCCAGAAATATTGATCCGCTAAAAAAATTCGGGTTCTTCAACTGATTTAATTGTGCCTTCAACTTTACATAATACAATACGTACAACTTCATTAGACAGCGACCTTTATGCTTTCAAACTCTTTTCTAAAGATTTGCCGAAGAAATAATCTGATCAGATGTATCCATTGTTAAAAACCATCAGCGAAATTATGGATTCTGCTCTCATGCTCTCATGCATGATGAAATTAGTCTGATTTATAGACCTGGTTGGGCAAATCAGACGCTTCCTTACCAAAAAAGCCTACAGGATGAACAGTACTTTCCATAATCTGCCTCAAATGAACAATTATTTTTATAAACATTTGCTGTCATAGGCAGTCATTCATAGTTGTCAGCTAGTTTTTGTTCCTGCTGCATTTCTTCCATTTGTAATTTATATTTTGGCAAAAAAAAGCGGCTTTTGCTTTTTTAATATCATTTATAAGTTGAATCAATATTAGTCTTATTTAGTTTCAAAATCACAATTACTATTTCTTGGTTAGAGTTGCCTTTTTCATTGAGCCAAATATCACACAGGTCAGCTCATAGTCACCTGCTAAAAATTGATTTGCGCCGGTTGTGCGCAAAAGTGCACATTGAGACAAAGGCACTAAGATCCCAATTGATTACTCTATAACATGCAATTGGAATTACACTGGTGCGCCCTGGTGGCTGTTTTATATGTCTTTGCAAAGTTTAATTTTATTTACAAGAAATGAAATTTGACAACATTTGCTAATTATACAATAAATGATTAAAATAAGTTCAAACATCAATTGGTTTTTAAGCCAACGCATAGTAGAAGCCCTAAAAATTCATATCCTTTTTAAATTTCTCAAAAATAATGTCTGGTCATTGAATAACGATGATTTGAAAATCGGCTAACACAAATTGTAAGCTGAAGGCAAATGCTTTTCGAAGATAACAGCTGACTTTAACAGCTGTTAGGCTTAACAGTGGACTGTTATTCAACATTTTGGGTACAGTACCTTAAAGTTTGGAGTTTTATTAAGATGTTAACATAAAAAAATTATAAATTTTCATACTTCGCAAAAATGACTAAATACCCGAAAAACGGCAAAATTCCCCATAGTGCAATGGTTTGAATTGGTCTTAATGGGAATAATCATGGTAATGAGAACTGAAGCGGGCATAATTAAATTGCGCTCACTGTTTTTTTTTTTTTTTTTTTTTATTATTTTTTATTGATGATGCCCAAAGAATGCGATTATAATAGATAAATATATAAATGTATTATTGTTGTTGTTGTTGTCGCTCTCTCTATTGCTGTGCAGTTCTGAGATGCTGCAGCTCCTGTGCATAGTCAGCCGGTGCCCAGTTGCCAAAGAGCGCATCGCCCATGGCTATGTAGGCACGGAATAGAGTGTTAAAGTTGACATAGGGTTTATCCTCCAGCTCCTCCTCGTACTCGGCTGCCGCGTGTTGTAACAAGTTGAGGCATAGCAGCGCCGCCAGTGCCACCAATAGCCCGTGTCTGTGTAGCTGCCACATGCTTGCGAAATTCTAAATGCATATCAATTGCAGCTGCGGCTTTTATAGAGCGATTGCATGTGCCAATTGGGCCAAGTGTTGTCACAGTTGGCCAAAGAACAACACTATTAAATATTGTTGTTAAAACATCAGAAGCGGATCAGGGGCAATCGATGCTTAAATAGACACATTTCTATGCTTGTTTAGTGGAGGAAGCAGCAACAGCAGCAGCAGTAGCAGCAGCAGCAGCAGCAGCAGCAGCAGCAACAACACCAGCAACACCAGCAGACATGACATGGCACAGGCAACGTCAACGCCAACGCCAGTGCCACCTACTGCCATTAATCATGCTGGCCAAAAAGCCAAGTGCAGTCAGTTAATTGCCTTAGCCAAGTTGCTTTAATTGATCGCACGAGCTTTTGTTTAATTATAAAATGACTTTACATTTGGGTCACACGATACTCAAACGCATTTCAAATGCGGAAACTATCGAGCCCCCAACCAAGTAGTACCCAAAACCCTACTATAACGATCGACCCTCCTCTGGCAGGAGCCTTGAAAGCCAAGCGCGATATAATAAATTATTTATTAACATATTATACATATTATACTAAATATAATAAATTTGCAGTGCTCGGTGTCGCATTTTTCTTAAATATATTTTGATGCCAGCTTTTGGCCAAGTCGTGAGAAAGATGCTTGGCCCAATGAAAATGAAAGTCAACTTCCCATAAGCCAAAAAGGGCACAAGAAATGCAGTTTTATTTTTAAATATGTTGCTGTGGCAGCAACAGCAACAAGAGCAACGCCAACAGCAACAGCAGGCTGTCACCGGTTTACAACCGGAGCAACAGCAACAGCAACAGCATCTATAATAACAGCAGCAACAGCAGCAGCAGCATCTTCAACAACAACAACAACAACAAACAGCAGCAGCAGCAACAACAGCTTCATCATCAGCTCACATAATACGCAATCGATTGTTATTTTATTTTATTTTATTTTGTTTTTTGTTGTTTTGTCTTGGCGTTTTGTGTGTGTCTTCTTCTTTTACGCATATTATAAGACAGTTGCTGGCGCTGCCAAATATTTGGATATCTTTGGCTTTCCAGTTCAGTTCAGTTCAAGTTCGCGTCTCGAGCGGTTAAGTTTCGAGTTAACGCGTCAACCGGCCAAATCCAAGTTCCACTAAAAATAAAACAAAATCTAAACGCGTCCAGCTGCAGGACTCACAAAGGATATTAGCTCGAGCTGGATTATGATTTTGTGCTGCTTCGTTGATTTGTGAAGTTATAGACAACAGAAAGTGTTTGAATAAATAGGGAACAGAAAAGAATAAATATAAAATACAGTGAAATATTAAAATATTTATTTAAGGTAAATGAAATTGTGCATGGAACTAAATGGAAATAAAATATATTTATATACAACAGAATCAAAACTTTAAGGAAAACTCAGTGAAGTGTGCTGCAGAAGAATAAAAAAAAAAATCACTTGAGGACAATAAAAAAATTAAAAATGAATTTAATTTTTAAAATGTTGTTAAAATATAAACAAAAGAAATTTGGAGTTGGATTATTTCCTAAAAAGTTAACTCTGCTAAAATTAATAAAACAAAACAGAATATATTTTATGTGATGTATTTGCATGGCATAATTTAAAAAAAAATATATATTTTATAAATTTAAAAATGTGTATAAATATTTGAGTACTTAATTTATAATATCTATTTATATACACGAAAAATAACAATTTTTATGTATATTTTTTTATTTGAATATATTTTTGGTTTGGATTTAGATTTGACTCATATTTATATAAATTTAAAAAATAATAGTCATTTTTATATATTTTTATATTTATAATTATATTATTTTTTTATAGTTTTAATTTAGAGTTCGATTTTTTAAATTAGACCAATTGGAGTTTTTTTCTGGATTTAACTGCTTGATATAGACAGTATATACAATACATTTTAATTTTTATATTTAAAAAAAAAAAAAATGTTGTCCTTTAATTGCCTAAAAATTAATTTGTTCAATTATTAGTAAGCAAAAAATTTATTTAAAATCTGGACAAATTTAATGAACTCAAATATATTTTTAAATTATATAGAATTTTTATAATTAAAAATTTATGAACATAATAATATTCAACAAATAAAAATTTATATAATTATATATAATATACATCAAATAGCTTGCTATATATACATCTTTCAACAAGTAAACTAAAATCTTTTTTAGTGACCTATCATAAATTTGCTTTGTAGCTGCAGATCCTTAGGACAGTTCATTCTATAAATTATGCATCTCAGCAGGTAGATCAGTCATGAGATGAATCGGCTAAAAATAGTGTACAAGCTTTATAAATGTCAAATAAAACATAGAACATGAAAGGTATATAAGCTAGCCATAAAAAAGTGCCTCGATTTGTAACCTCTTGCCACACATTTTATATCAATCCACACCAATTAATATCATTATGCTAGCCATTCAGAGTGCTGTTCTTATTAATGAAGATAGCCAGCGAATTGTGAATCATCGCAGAGAGAATAATGTCAGTTCATATAAAGTAAAATCATTTATCAAGCAGCTAAAGGCAGAGATTCTTGTCTCTTCTGACAGAGACGCAGAGCGTGAAAACGGCCAAGATATTTATCACATAGAAGAACAAGCTTGTAAGTCGATCAATAATTAGTTAACACTCCTTCGACTGTCTGCACTTAATTGTACTGTAAATTTGCTAGAATCTTACAAATGAAGCTAAAACATTGCTCAACAATTGAAGCTGGCTGTTGAAAGCAATGCGGATACAGAATCGATGATGGTTAGACACAATGCGATCAGCACTATTTGAAGTGGGCCACATTTTCAGCTTGTGTTACGCACTCAATTAACGTCAGTTTGGGCCATAATGACAGCCACTCGGGCTTGGGCTGCGGGCCAACAGACCAGCATCTGTGAGAAAATCCCCAATACATACGTGTACATATCAAGAGAAATACATTTATTTATATATTGTATTTAGCTATTATTGTGCACACTTCACGCTTGATATCATTGAAGTAGACATGTTTTGTATTGGCCATATCCTTAAGCCCAGCTTCAGAAATTCCCATCTGATGACGTACAGGTTGGCTAATTATAGAAATTCTATTGCCAAGCAAATAAATAATTTATTTATAAATCCGATTTTATAGCTTTATGTTTATTTAAGCTACATATCTTAAACAAACAAGTGAAATAGATATTTGAGAGTTCATCCTGTTGATCTTGAGAGCTAAACGGTTGAATGACTTCTTCTGATTCTGATTGGTTAGCAAAATGAGTTCGTCAGAGTCTAAAGTAAAGCGAAACCAGTAGTTAGACAAATGTGATAAGAAAATCTTCTTTGAAATACATGTTAAATACATTTAGGTATATATAATAAATTAATTAGATAATATTCTTGCTTAGGTCATGACTCTCAAGTTGTTGAGTAAAGAGAAATCACTTGCAAGGAAAACAGTAGGAGAAAATCTGTTATAAAATAATATACAAATAAATATATGTATATGAGTATAGCAACAAGTCCATTTACATAATCATGAGCAGAGATCCTTAAGTTCAGGCAGCCCGCTTAAGATTTGAAGAACTGATTCTGACTGTGAAGTGGTATTTCTCTCACGGCATATCAGAATCAGATTGCTATAATTAAATTCTAAAGTAAAGCGAAACCAGTTGCCAGACAGCGACTGCGGGCACATAGAGATATCGTTTAAATTGTATTTAAGATTTATGGTTGCGATGCGCCAAAACGTGCTGCTAATTTATTGCCAGACGAGACAAGAAATCGAAGTAGAAAATGGAAAAATTAAAAATTAAAAATAAAATAAATAAATAAAAAATGATTAAAGCTACAATTTGAGAAATTAGTAATTATATAATGCGGAATCAATGCACTTACAGCGGTTCTTAGCTGTAATATAATAATAATAATAAAAAAAACTATTTTTAATTTGTCTGCCTCTGAGCTGAAGTTCAAGAAATGATTCAAATAAAGCGATTTAATGGCCATAGCCATTCACTTTTGAGGCCGGCTAGCGCTGTTATCTATTCGAAAATAATATATATATTTATATTTATATATATTTGTGTATATGAATATATAAATGTTTTGCTTTCTGGTTACGCATCTTCTTCTACTACTTCGGCAGCTTGTCTCAGCGTATTTTGATGGATCATTGAAAACAATGTGAAGTAAAACAGTTTTTCAGCTCGTAAATATGATGTGAAATATGATTGAAGATGATGCGGCTAAATTGCTTGCCTATGAAGAGGGAATGCTTCCTCATTGTCAGCGGGCATTGTGGCTGCTGCTGCTGCTGCTGCTGCTGCTGCTCTTGATAATGACCCTGAATCTGTCGAATGTACATACATATTGCAGATTGTTACACTTTGCTCTTGGATTGTTTTTAGTAATTGTACATCTGCATTTGCATAATGGAATTGTAATGGAGGTTAAGTCATGAATGTCTTTTTAAAGGTCTTCAAAGGTCTTCAGAGGCCTCTTTAAGCATCCTCAGAATACGCATTCTTCGTGCAGTCATTAAAATACAATTAGTTGTTGCCTAGATAGTCATTATAGACGATTATATAGCTTACAGTTTATTGACATCGGCATACAGGTTATTGGCTCGCTATATCTGTCTACTATATATTTATTTTTTTATTTTTTATTTATTTATTTTTTTTTTATCTCAAGTATGTCACAGCCAGTGGGACACGCCTTCGACAAATATCTAAATGCTTAATTGTCAACAAATTAGTTTTGCATAGCTCTTTCATACATATTTTATTGAATAAGTTTTACATCATCGTCGGAAATGAAGGCAGGTTATATAATTGATTAAGTTATCTCAAATGGACAGTTAAAAGTGGCAAATAATTAAATGCTGATTTCTTATTATATTTTATTTTATTTTCATTTTACTTTTCTTTATTTTGATGTATTTTATTTATTTTCTTGTGATTTATTTCTATGGCCGCTTTGTTGGCCCAACAATGCCAACAATTTAGCGCTCTTTAGCTTGGCAAATTGTGTACAACTACTGTTCAGCAATATATATGTATATACTTATATAGATAGATATCTATCTATTCATTAAGTTTGCCGACAATGCTTGATTTATTCAATTCAGTTCTTCAATTTCATTTCGCGCACTTCATATGACATGATCCACACAATCGACCACTGTGCGGCGCACACACGAGTGCACCAATGCCTTTTGGGCCTTTTATGCAATACTCTGTAGATATTGATAATAGATGTAGGGTATATTTGTTTAGTTGAAAGGTTTAAAAAAGCCAGCTGAGTCGATTATACACAAATAATATAATTATTCCTAATTACGATGAGCAACCTAATTTATTTAGGTAAGATCTTCTATTCTATCTGTCTGCATATCTAGACAAATAAAAAAATATATATATTTAACTTCAGCATATATTAAAAATTTACCTTTTATCTAAAGCGTCCAGCTGCTCGTCCAGGGTGTCTCTTAGTCGTACAATCCTCAACTACAATTGCAGGCAATTTCAGGGCAACAAACACTAGAGAAACTGCACAATGAGCCAAACACAAGTGAGCAGTTGGCAAGTTCGTTGCCTAAGTCTTTTGTTTTCACCCAACTAAAAATAAATAAAAAATTAAAAAACATCAATGAAATGACATTAATGATATGCAATATACAGTCCGTCAGCCAAGTGTACTCATATAACAATCAAATAAAAATCAATATTAATAAATATCTACAAATATATTTTTCCACAATTTATACAACGAGCTGTCAGAGATTTGACCTCACTCGAAGCACAAAAATCCATTTGAATAATCATCAATTAGACGCATTCTGAAATGCCGTTTGATAGCTCAAATAAACAAATAGGCTTTTGATTAATGAAAGATTAAACAATAAACAAATTGCTCACCCTCAGCACGGCTTCAGTTTGGGTTTCAACACGTGACACGACGCCTGTCAATATTGAACGATAACAGATTTATGCTTGGCCACTCCAATACTTGTCCGAAATGTAGTTCAAACGGAAATGGTGAATGTGAATTGAAGGTCAGCAGTCAGCACAGCTATGGACTTGGATTTCCTTTTATTGAGTTTCCAGTTGGAGATAAGCCATCGATACACTTTGCCCGCTGGCATGAGTCTCGTCTATATGGTCAATTGATGAATCGAACACGGGCTCCCACGCAGACTCCGCTAATGTTGTGCACAGTGCCGTTAAACAGTCTACGCACCACTGTTTTAATTAAATATAAAATATATATAACAGCTCTAATGCGATGTTAAATATGGTTACGTCGCTTCTGCCCGCTGAGCCGAGTTCGGGTCACGCCTCGATTCGGACTGTGCCGTGGTTTATGCTAATTCAGTCGGATCTTGCGATGCTTTATCTTCAAATGTTTTCAACAGCATGTTCGTTTTAATCAATGAATGTTTATTGATTCATAATTTATCAATCAGCCTAATGCATAATGTTTTGTAAGCGTGCAATTTACATATGATTTAAACATTTTGCTTACAGCATGCCCCGGTTACGATTGCCAGCCACAGTTGGCCCACTTTCGGTGGGGCCGCTGCTGCTGCTGCTGATGCTGGTGGTGCTGTTCGCGTTTGACGACGCCGGCGCCCAGGGCAACTTCGAGGATGCGGACAAGGCGAACGAGTACACGGATCAGCAATTCGATTTGCGTCACACCATACCCGGTGAGCCGGGCATCGACTATCCCATATTGAGCGAGGTGCCCAAGACGAGTTTTCTTTGCAGGGGCCGACACGAAGGTGGGTCTACCTCTTATATAGATACTACAGCTCCCAATTTGAGCTGACAGCATGCTAATTGAATTTGTCGCGCAGGCTATTATGCGGATGTGGAGAGTCGCTGTCAGGCGTTTCGCATTTGCGCCCACACCGCACGCTCGGCGCAGGGCTTTGGCTTTCTCTGTCCGAATGGCACGATCTTTAACCAGCAAAAGTTCGTCTGCGATTGGTATCGCAATGTGGACTGCGACCAGTCAGAGCAGTACTATGACATGAATAACGAGAGCACCGTGGGCAGCACACAGGAGATGATGGAGCGAGTGCGCCAGATGATGGAGTATCCCACCAAGACCATATCGCAAGTGCTGCAGCAGCAGGAGCTGAACCAGCGCAGGCAACAGCCCAACAGGCATCACACCCTCAGCAAGGATCTGAGCACTGTCAGCGGAGTCCTCGACCAACCAGCGGCCGTTGCCAATGAGAAGCAGACGCTGCGCGGCGAGGACATCAAGAGCGAAGCTCTGCTGGCTCCGATTGTCACAGCTGAAGCCAATGAGCCCGACGACGGCGAGGACATCTATGTGAACAGTCTGGGTGAGCTGTCCTCCGATCCGGGCATCCAGTTCGATCACACGAATGCGCACATCATAGCCGAGTATCCGCGTGAGTATCACTATCAGAAGCAGAAGAACTTTGCGGCACGCGTCAATGCGGGCCTCGAGCTGCTGGACGGCAGCTCAGCTGCTTCCAATGAGCAGATGGCGCCCGAGTACATCAAGCAGACACGCAACACCAACGAGGAGGCGACACAGCTGGATCTGGTGGCCAACATCAATAACTTGCTGGAGGAGGTCTCCACCGACCTGGATCCCAGCGTCTCGGGCTACCAGTCAATGAGCCCGCAGAAGGTGAAGCAGCCCTTTAGATTCCTCAGTCGTGGATTCTCCATGCAGGCCAACGAAAAGGAGGCCGGCAAAAGCCACTCATCCTATGTGTACAACAGACCCAAGCAAACGCCGGGCACGGTCCGATTTACGGTAAGCCCCATAAGGCTATCAATAGTTGCCTAAAGTCATATATATCTGATTATTTCCTTACAAGCATGATCTACTCCTACATCCATAAACTCTTTCAACTCTCTTTTGATCTTTCCTCATATTCTCTCTCATTTTATCTATTTCTCTCTGTCTCTCTCTCTCTCTCTCTCTTTCTATCTTTATTTGGCAATCTCTTTCGCTACTCTATACAACTATTCGCCTACAACATTATCATTTACAACCACATCTTGATAAACCACACACAAAAACCACCAAACACCACTAAAGTCCAATGAGATACCCATTGATGCTCACAAAGACATTGAACACAAGCTTAAAT